TTTTTCCTATCAAGAGATGTATATATATTTTGACTTTCACATCTCAAGAATATCAATATTGTAAATTCTTGGGGCGTGACTTTAGTACTCTGGGTTGCTAGAAAGAGAGGCAGGGAGAGCTCCATAGGTGAGGAAAAAAAAAAGAGGAGTGCTTTTCCAAGATTTAGATAACATTGTGATTATGACAAAAAAGAAGCGCTAATTCTGTATTTGGACAATGGAAAAGATAAAGAGGGTGTAAAATGTTCTTTTTTATTTGGGTGTCAAAGATAAAGAGTGTCAAAAAAAAGATGAGCTTATTGATGGCTACTCGGCTAATGTGATTAATTGGTGTTTGTCTTTGGATTCTACCCCCTGACGGCTCAGCAGTTTGATGGATGAAATCTTGATTCACTTGAGCGATTTTAATATCTTCTTCAAGAATGTACCTCGAGGCTTCAATTCGGACGCAGACCTACTGGCTAACTTGGCAACTTCCTAAGCCAGTGCTATGGTGTCTCCCCTGTTCCGATCCTATCTCCCTCCCTGGCCCCTAGGGGCCTCGTCCTGTTATTTATTTATTTCTTTTAATTTTCCTGGTATCTTTTACTTTTTCGTTATCTTAATAAAACTCGCATTGCTCAAAAAAATAATTCTTTTTATTTACTTTGAGAGGTTCCATGAGATATTTGCAAGACTAGGGGGATATTTGAAATCATAATTTTAAAAAGGGGGGTTTGTCTTTTGCTAAATGTTTTCCTTAAAAATTCAACAATCCTTTGAAATAAGCAGTTTTTTCTACTACTATTTTGGAAACTGGTCATTTGGGATCTCTTTTGTAATTTGGTATTGTGGATAATACATCATTATTTGGGTTTCATTTGGAATTTCTGCCTTATCCAAGTATCAAACTTTGGTAATAGCTTTGGCTCTCTTACAACATATGAAAGATCTTGTGAATGAGTTACTTTCGTTTATCATCCCCCTTTGCTCATGTAGAAATCTAATGTTACTGGACTCGTCCGAGTCCAATTTCTCAGGTGAAGAACTCGGTTATCCGAGTTATGTGTACATTTCAGTGCATATAAAAAGTTGAAAAAAATATGGGTATATAGTATACATTTTTTATATGTGCTTTGGAATTTTTTTTTGGCATAGATTGGTGAGTGTTTATTTTTCATAATCCTTATGTTTTATACTTTCCTTTTTTGGTTATTTGAAATGTCCCTACCTATAAATTAATTAATTTTAAATCCATTTTTAATACATTTTTGAACTTTTAAAGCTTGCTTTTGATTGTATTTTATTTTGAATATCTTTTTTTTTTAATTATATTTTTATGCATTTTTAAATTTTTCTAGGGCTTTTTGCCCTATATAGGACTCGGCCAAGTACTAAGGGCTGATCCTATTTAGAAATCTATTGTATTTAGAAATCTATTGCAAAAAAGTACCAAAAATAGTGTATGGATATTTCCGATGCTTTAATTGCCCCAATGAGTCAATCTGTTATTCATTGCTGCTTTTAAATTTTTGAATAGTTAAATAATGTTTCCAACATTGGACTATATTTAAAATAAAGAAAAAGATCAATCAATTCGGTCCTCCAGATCAAAAGTTTTATAAATAAAAAAAATTATAAGTATGGAGGTGTCCGATGTTCACACATCGAACTATCTCAACCTTAGAGCAGTCCGATGCCCGCGACATCTGTTCAACCCATAATTGAGGCTATCAAATATGGGCTATCAGGTAGCCCTACATACCACCGCAATTTAAAAATAAAATAAAAAATCGTTCAGATGCTTGCAACATTCAACCAGTGGCAAATCTGAAATAAGAAAAATGAAAAAGTGATATATGCACATAAAACTTTCAAAAAACTCGCTGAAAAATGTAATTTTGGTAAATAAAAAAAAAAAAAAAACCATATCCGGTACATATTATGGTTAGGGGTGGCAACTGGTCTGTACGGGTCGCGTACGGTTAGAACCAAACCCTAATAGTATTCGGGTCCAAAATTTGGACCCGGACCCGTCGGGTCTACCCATCAGGTCTCGGGTCTTGTCAAATCCATTGCCACCCTATAAATATGAGTTTTTTTTTTGTTTTTTTTTTTACCATCATATACCCTTTGACTACGAGTTCTTTTTTTTACCAATAATATTGTAAATGTCATCAATATTGTGAGAATATGAACACCTAGCGCACGGTTAAAGATACATGATTGCCATCATATACTCTATGATTATGGGTCTGGGTTGGGTCTGGCTGGACCCGGACCCAAATAGTATTCGGGACAAAATTTGGATCCATACTTAGACCTGAGGTCAGGTACACCTGTCGAGTCTAATCAGGTCCACTGAAACCCTTAACTATGGCAAGAAACTAATGTAAAAGCATTAATTTATTTAAACATAGATCAGTCCAACCAAGAAAGAGTAACAGTACAAAGCCGAACACACCCAACAAAGTGAGAGAGAGAGAGAGAGAGAGAGAGAGAGCATCTTCAATTGATTCAAGCAACCAGAATGTAGAAGAGGCCCATGACTCCTGTGTGCAAAGTGGCTGAATTGTACGTTGATTCGAGCACCAGAGTCTCACCATCCTTGATCTTCATGGAGCCTGGTTCGGGATAGCAAGTGCTCATGCCTACAACATATCCAGCTTCATCTCCTGCCTCTTTACCCCGACCATAAATAGGAACCGAATCACAGATAACTCTACCATCCTGGTTTCAAAACAATGCACTTAATGCTTCAAATTGGTTGATAAAACAACATTGTGGTTTATGAGACAGAAATAATAGAAAGCAGTGTGCCCGTCTACCTGGACTTGGCCGAGTAACTTAGCGCCTATGGGTGGGTGAGGTGAGTTCCAGTCCAACTCACCAGTCCAAATACATGATAAATAAATATATAAAAATGCAAAAATATGAAAAAAAGAAAAGAAAACACTAATATAATGTTAGAAATACTTTTTTTAGAAGATTTTGCTATTTTTTTAGATCATTTGGGAACTTTCATATTTTTCTCTTTTTCTTTCCTGAAATATTTGAATCCATATTTTTTTATCAATAACTAATATTTTATATTTTTTTCATCTTAGTCTTCTAATGATTCTATTAATTATTTTTAAAAAATTTCTGACTTTTAACTATTTTTTGGTGAGTTCTATGTCTTAGCTTTTCTAACTCTTTTTGAGGTGTACCCAAGTCGGCTCAATTACTTAGCTCGATTTAGAGCCAAATACTTTGGTTGAGTTGATTTTGTGTACACTTGTAAAAATGATAGAAATGGGATTTAATGGTTAGAGGCCATTCAATATTTGAATTTGACATTTAATAAAATTGAATTTGTTATCCTAATTTTAGCAGCGGGAAAGCATAACCAATCTAAGAGAAAGTTGTTGAAAGGAGGAAGGAGGAAAGACGGAGGCTTGAGACAAACATTCCTTTCACAAACTATACGGGCAAAAGATTTCCTATTTCTTTAAGAGTTACTCTTTTATCTCAAACTTTTGGAGGTGTAGTCTCTAGAATTTAGCAAACGACCTCAAATAATTTTTTTTTAACTCTCACTCTCTATATGCCTAAAACCCAAGATTGCACTAGAACCGTCCAATTTTTTAAGGGAAAGATTTAGATGTTTATGAACTCAAAATTTATTTATTTTTAAATAATCATGTAGTTAGAATTAGATCGATCTTATAACTGCAAATAAAAAAATATTTAAAATTTAAACTCTATCAGACAATTGTGACCATTCATCAAACTTTTGATGATGATGAGATATGAGTGAACTATTACAGAGCTTTACCATAAATGTTTGGAAAAGGTTTCTATACTTCTCCTACAGTATAGAAGATCTATGCTTTCCCTATCATCCAGCAGTCCAATTTTGATCAAGAGAACCACTCATCGTTTGATTTCAGATTTGACGTTTCAAAGTATTTTATTTTTAGTTTTTTTTATGCAAATTTTATGAATATGAAATTTGGTACGTGCCATCTTCTCATAGGGACGCACCTATAAAAAATATTAAAGATAATTTTTTGATAAAATATAATTATCAAAATACCCCTTGAAACTTTTAGGTGTATTTTGATCATTTTATTTGATTAGAAATACTTTTTTTTTTTTTATATTTTTAGCTAGTGCGAGTTTAATAGAGGATTGTACATCCAAAATTTGGTGTAAAAATAGTTTATAGAAAAAAATTAAAAATAAAATAGTGTAGAGACATGACATTGTGATTAGGGCAATCTCAACCCTCCATTCATAATTGACGGTTAGATAAGGGGAAGTATATAAGTTTTATGCCTTAGGGGAAGCATAGAAAGCATGCCCTTGTTTTCAATTGAGTGATATATATATATATATATATATATATATAGAAATACTGATATTAGCCCACTAGCTCATAAAAACATGAGTCCAATGGTCTAGATTGAATCTGGGCGGATCTGATACTCACGACGTGATATATATATATATATATATATATATAGAAAATGCTGACACTAGCCCACTAGTTCATATAAACATATGAGTCCAACGGCCCAATTTGAATCTGGGCCAATCTGATAATTACGACCTCATTTTGTGTTTAAATTTTAAATTTTTTTCTACAAATTCACATAACCTAAAATTTTAGAATTCCATTATTCTCATCAAGGCGCACTTAATAAAAATATTTTATAAATAATTCACAAAAACTAAATTGACTAAAATAACCCTGTAATATTTTAGGGGTATTTTGGTTAATTTATTTTTTACAAATTATTTTTTTGATATTTTTATTAGATTTTTCTATTTTTGTGGAATACATGCTTAAAATTTAAAATTATTTGAATT